CAGAGGGCAGAAATTTTAATATGCTATTGATAAATATATCCATATGATTTGTGATAAAGGCAAGTTAAAGAAAAATTTTGCATCAGGAGCCCAATATGAAAATAAGAGTGTGAATGAATGCAGCTATCAAACAGTTGCATCTTGTTGGTTATGTAGTGAGTTAGATTCATTTCGGGTAAATCATGTTAAGTAACAGGAAATTATTTTATCAGGATGTACAGACAGTAACAGGTGCTTCATTTGTTTAAATATCCAGTAATTAGTAACTGGCTCAGTTAGAAGATAAACTGTATTGTAGAAACAGGCTGCTTTGTTAACTTCAGAATATAATTGATCATGTAAAGTCAGAAGCCTAAGTAGCTTTAGTTTTATAGGTACTTTTAAGAGTAATTTCAAACACTGAACATGGTGACATTCAATTCCTGTTATTCTCAGTGCTGAGAGTTCAGAGGGTGGTTACAGTGGAACCAGGTAAGCAAAGCTGGTAGCAAAGTCATTTCCACTTGACACAGAGGATGTGATTCCAGAGTGCTCTGGGTTGAAGAGCCTTCACAGGCCAGGGTGTGCACTTGGCCTCTGGTGCACAAGGTGCAGTGTCCCCTCTTTTGAACCAAAGCCAAGATAATGCTTTTGTTAAAAATTGTTTTGAACACAGATTACAATTGGGGATAATATTTTTCATGAAAAGGCAGATGATGGGTAGGAAGGAGACTGGTGCAGGTAATCTGATGTTATCCATGAAGAAACAGAAATAGGTGACTTGGAAAAACAAGATAAAGTTTTAATAGGAGTATGAAGAAGCCAACAATGGTGGGGTGTTAAAGCATGGTCTGGGATCTTAAATAAAGTCTCCTCAAATGTCTTGCTAGTAAGTATCCATAAACTGCAAAGATGTTTTCTTGTAAGCAGGTTCATGGCTAACAGTGTGCAGAGAGGCTCTCCTCTCAGCTGGAATACACTGAATCAGTATCAGGATCATAACTCTTCTGATTATTTTTAAATGTAATTTTATGATTCTCTGCTTTCAGATGAGCTTTAAAAAAAGCCTAAAAAAACACCAGTGATAATTTATAAAAGATTGTTGAGAATTTGTGCAATACAGTATTTATCAAGTATTTTCAACACTTCAGCCTTTATGTTACAAAACATCAGGACACTGTGATCTCACTGATGATGTGTTTGATGTATTAGAAATTTTTTGATCAGCATTCATGAAGGTTACATAAGGTTATTCTTTCCTGCTGTAGTTTACCACGGTGTGTGCTGTTAAACCAGTATCAGAAGCTGTGTTGTGTTTCTGTCTGGATCTTTTGTACCTGGCAGCATATTCCTTATTTGTATTACAGGAATGTCTGTTCAGCCCACTGGGGCTTGATGATAAGTGAGGCACGTAGTGGAGGAGGATCCTCATCTGGAGAGCCTATAGCAGACATGGACAGGCTGGGTGATGTGGGGTGAGAGACACAGGGAGGTGAAGAATGAAGTCTTAGCAGAATTCACCCAGTGTGGGTAGAACAGAGCTCAGCTCCTTTGGCTCTGTCTCTTGAGCCAGGTGTCCTGTCAGGGGATGAATTACAGGTAGTGGAAAATCTTGTGCATTTGTCAAGATTAGTATATGATATCAAGAACCATCTTCAATTTTTCTCACTGATCAAAAAAGAGAAGACAAAGAACCTGAGGAATAGATGAGTGCAAAGCTTTCTGCAGATTCTTGAAGCTATTCCATAGTTTCTTGGTAAAACCAGTTTGCAGGTTTCAAAGTGAGGGCAAGATTTATCCCACTATGAGAAATTTAGAGAAATGGCACGTTTTGCTTTACAATTTACATGTGCAAAAAATCTCAACAAGAGGCACTATGTGCTGATATTCCATATGGAAACAGCCAGGGTATAGTGTAGTACAGGTAGCACAGAGAGCCAACTAAGTATTAGCTTCTGTGGGTTTGAAAATGGTGACTTTGGATAAGACACTGATACAATATTCATATAACCTTTGCATAATACCAGTTATCTGTCAGACTGTATTTCTGACCTGCACCTCCCAGGAAACGAATACTTACTCCAGTGCAAAATTTCTTATTCTGCAAAGCTTGACAACTTCGTCTGAGATCACTCTCAGCCAGTTGGCCCTTGCTTAAATATTCATCAGACTTCTGATAATTGTGATAACCCTTGTAGGCTGGCAAGCAAGGCAAATTAGTAAAAAGATGATTGATCTTTTTTTATATGCAGTTTTATCTTCAACCTTTCCTGGATATATGTTATACTACAGTAATAATTTCTTCTCTAAGGTATTTGCCAGTATCTAGATTTGCACATCTATTTACAGTTGCCTTGAAGCCTCATAATTACAATACAGCTGAAATGTCCATTTTCTTTCCCTGACTACAAATAGGGATCAATCGAATTTTAAATGACTGCTTACGGGCTGGCTCCCGATCATGACCTTTGTAAATGATTAGAGCTCACCACTGTTGCTATCTACCTTGAAAGGGTAAGCGGGCAGCTCTGCCTAACTGGCATTTAATCTGGAAGAGAGCCAAAGATATTTGAGCTAAAAACCTAATAGGAGTTGGCAAAGAGAAGTATGTATAGACCTTTGCACTATTATTGAGATATTTTTCTGCATTTCTTTTTTGTAGTCAGGAAATTCTTTTACCCTGTAGATGAGAGATGAGAGATGTATTTTTAGATAATGTTATACTGGAGTTATGATAATAACTGCACTTGCAAAATATATAGCATAAAAGTGTGAAAAATGAGTTTTCAAACTCTAAATGACTGCATTCAATTTTCTGAAGAATGTGAAGATACAAAATGGTTTAGTTTGGTAGGGATCTTAGAGATCTTCTTGTTCATCCCTTGCCATGAGCAAGGGACGGTGTTTCAAACACTAATGGGGTTTCAGAACGGGGTTTCAAACTGTAATGGGTTTTCAGACCGGGCTTTCAAACTCTAATGGGGTTTCAGAACGGGGTTTCAAACTCTAAATGACTGAATTCAATTTTCTGAAGAATGTGAAGATACAAAATGGTTTGGTTTGGAAGGAATCTTTGAGATCATCTTGTTCACCCCTTGCCATGAGCAGAGACATTCTTTGCTGTCCCAGGTAGCTCCGAGCTCTGTCCAGCCTTGGACACTCCCAGGGATGGGACAGCCACAGCTTCTCTGGGCAGCCCGTGCCAGGAGCTCAGCACCTCCCAGGGAAGGATTTTTTCCTTGTATCTAATCCAAATCCACACTCTTTCGGTGTGAAGCCATTCCCTCATGTCCTGTCACTCCAGGCCCTTGTCCAAAGTCCCTCTCTGTCTTTCTTGTCAGCTCCCTTTAGGCACTGGAAAGCCCCAGTGAGGTCTTTCTGGGCCTTCTGTTCTCCAGGTTGAATATTCCCAGTTCCAGCTCAGTGCTGTTAGGATGCTGGAGCTGTGTTTGGTCCCAGTGTCCACATCATGGACAAAGGTGGGCGAAGTGCCTGTGGTGGCTGACAGTGGCTGAGCATGAGCCAAGGTGTGCCCAAGGGGACAAAGGCCAAGGGCACCTGGCCTGTGTGAGCAGCAGTGTGAGCAGCAGGACCAGGGCAGTGCCTGCCCCTCTGTGCGGGGCACTGCTGAGGCCACACCTCGAGTGCTGTGTCCGGCTCTGGGCCCTGGTGCCCCTCTCTTGCTGGCTCCAGCTCCTTGGTGCTGCCCTCCAGGGCTCTCTGGGTCACCTGCCACCCCTCCCCTGGGCTGTGCTGGGCCCTGGCACCATCACCTGGAGCTTGAAACACTCCCTGGGCAGCCTGTGGCCAAAGCTGCTCAGGCACAAGAGTGTGGCTGCCAAATGAATTCATCTGAGAACTGCAATGAAAAGAGGCATGAGGTAGATCTGCTTTTTCTGGACAGAGGTGGATGGAGAAAAGGGACTCCATGCTGCACGTTTTTGCTTAAACCTCCTCTCCTTTTAGCATTGGTTGAGATAGTTCAGGCCCTGCTTTTATGTGCAGATCATGTGTAGGTAATGGCTGAGGCACTTCTATCTCTGCTTGTCAGTTCAGTTTCATTTTAATGAGGAATTGTGCCTGTATCATTCCATGTTTTTATTGCCACCACTGAATTTCTCGAGGTGCTGTTCAATGCACTGCCGCTGAAGTGGGAACGAGAGTGACATCAGTGGGATTAGAAAGGAAACACCTCTCAGTTTATTGATAGATTTTGCAAACCCAAAGTTTTGAGATTAATTGGAATTATTGCTAAAAATTATGAATGCTTTTATCTAATTAAGATAATATGCTGTGTTGCCTAATCAATTATTCTTGTGTGGTATTGATCAGAATATTTGTTAGTGTTCCTGGAAATATGACACATGTCATTAACACTCTGAAAGAATTTTACAGTTTGTAGTGAATATACAATCTTGCCTCTCTGCTGGCCAGAGCACTTTCTCCTATTTTCTGTAATGTGCTATATTGTTACATAATGCAGCTGGCAGCTGCCTCAAACTGGTCAAATGTATTCTTATCTAAAGCCTCAGCCCAGAAAGCACTTGTAAAGTCAGGTTGTAAGGTTTTGTGTCAGCATTACCTTTGACTAGCATTTAGATATCATATTCATTTAGATTTTTTTTTTAAGAAAACATCAAGTGTGTTTGAAATTCAAAATAAATATGAGATAAAAAATTAGTTTTTTTAAAGATTTGAATTGGTATTTACACTCTTCATATCAGTCTTAAACTGGAGATGTGTAGTTAGTATATAGTACTTGCCAAAGCGGTTTTTAATGATAAGGATGGTGGTTTTGGAAAGAGTTGAGATATTTGGAAGCAGAAATCCTGTGAAAAGTCACAAGAACATCAGTATCTTCATTACTGCTCCATGGCCAGGCTGCTAAAATAGTACTGGGAGCAGTAAAATGCTCTCAGGGATTGCTCACTGTGACTTCCACCTCATGCTTGCAGGTCCGAAGATAACTTTTTGATAAGGCAAGAGAATAAAACTAAAGAGAGTTGTTTCCCTGTGTGCAGATGCAGCAGCAGGAGCTGGCCCAGATGAGGCAGAGGGATGCCAACCTGACGGCGCTGGCAGCCATCGGCCCCCGCAAGAAACGGAAGCTGGATGCTCCTGGCCTGCTCACCATAGGAGGAGAGGTAAGTGTGCACCCAGAGCGAGGGACATCACCCCTGCAGAGCCTCCCAGGAACACCTGGAGCTGCTTCTGCTGCCGCTGTCATTTGGAAATGCACATCAGCACGGGAGCCCAGCTTGTCTTGCCACAGTTAAAATGGCTTCTCCTTGTAGTTGCATTTTCAAATGTGAACTTTCAGCAGGTCATTAAAGAATGTTTTTAAAATAGTTAAATGGGAAGTGTAGGTCTTAAACAGCCTTTATATCTGTTTTCTCCTCTGCATAATCTGAAAAAAAAACCCAAAAAGAGTAGGAAATGAAGAAGTATCTGAAAAAACATAACTGTAGTCTTACAGTTTGAACCAAGAGCTTGTAGTAATACCAGTGTGGGTTTGTGATAAATGTGTGTCCAAACTCCATCCAGAATGTCAAGGTGTCCCCCATCACTGGAAAGATGAGTTTATAATCATACTAAATTGTAATTTCCATAAGAATATTGTGCTCTAGAAATAGGATTGGATTTGTTAACATGATTCTCCTGATATTTTACCTGAAAAAGTAGCTGTGCTGTGCAATAAATGCAAAATTGTCGAAAGCCTGATCTGTATTAAGCAAGGTGGAGAACCAGGGTGATGTGGTTGCAGTGCTGTGGGTGGCTCTGTAAGAGCACTGTGTGGTTTGGTACAGATACACTTGGGCTGCTTTTCTTTCTGCTGAGTCTGCCCACGCAGTGGAGTCAGAGGAATTCTCCCTATTACATGCCTGTTCTGAGGAAAATGCAAACATTTTGTTTTGAATAGCTAAACTAACAGTTTTGGCTCAGACATTTGACTGTCTAAATGCCAGGCATTTCCAAAGGCCTTTTTGTTTCCCATTTTGGATAGCTTTTATCTGACTTCTCTCTCTTTTCGTGTGCTAAGATTAGTGCTAGGGAATTGGCTGAGCTAGGAACAGAAGTGGATCCTGTTTATACTCTAAAATTGACTTAGGACTTCAGATATGTAGGAGGTGCTTCTGTTTCTGGTAAAATTTGTTTCAGACTGAGGGAGTTTCTCGAGTTTTGTGTTGTCCTGTTATTATTCCCTTCCTTTCAGTCTCCCTCCTTTATCTTGCATTCAGTAAAGAATTCTGTTCTCCTCCACATGCACCTGTAACAAATCTCACAGCAGCAAGCCCAAAGGAGCTTTCATTAGAAGCTTGGCTGGGTGGTCATAGCTTTGGCTTTCCCACATTTAGAAATAATTTGAAACCTTCTAATAATACATGGATCCCTTCAGATTTTAACACTTCACCAAAGGAATATTTTGTCCTAAGGAACAGAATTTAATTTTTATTGTCTATTGTCACTTTAAAAAATTTATTCTTTTGTAAGTATTATAATTTGATGAACAAAATAGTGGTCACCTTCAGTGAGTGAAGCATTTTAATCAGAGCTCTGTATCTGAATGGATTATGATGAACAGCTTCCCTATCTCACTAGAAGCTCCTTGTTCTCTTGCTGCAGTGCTTCAAGGAAAAATAAAGGTCTGGGGCAAATTCCAAAGGCTTCTGGTTATTTTTGCTTCCTTTTGCTGCTCTCCTAGCCCAAATTTTGCTGAACAACTCTATTGTTCCATTGGCAAACTATCCTTGAAGTTTTTGCCGATCCATGGATTTCCTGGAGCCATGAACTGTGTGCCAGTTCAGATGGAATTGCTCCCATCCCTCTCCTCCTAGCTTCAAACCATCCTGGCCAGCTCATATAGATGGCTGGCTGGAAGCTGATTGCAAGGTCTTGGAAGCTGCATCTGCATTATTCAATGTCTTTTGTAGGGAATAGGACCTAAAGTGCTGCAGAAGCTGTGTCACACAGCTTGGCTAGAAACTCCCTTTCTGCTGTTCTTCTGAGCTTATTAGGGCTGCTCTGCAGAAATAAACTCAACTCCTCCAAAATGTTTGACTGTATAAAGGTACTGGAATTTTGTATTAATTGTCTAAGACTGTCTGATATCTCTTCTTTGGGTTTCTGGAGATTATAAACATCATTATGATTCTGTGCTCTAGGGTTCCAGCACCCCCTGAACCCAATTCCACCTTCAAATATCCAACCTCCTCTACGGTCTATGGCACTCTGATTTCTCCCAGCAGTTTCTAAGCTGCTTAAAGCCCTTGCTACTGATAATCTCTGCTTGCAAGGTCTGATTTGGCCAGAGATTTTTTGGCCTGCCCTTTTTTTTTGGTCAAAATACAGTTTTTGCATTGAAGTTGCTAGTCTCCTCATTAACCTTTTCTGACTTGCATGGGTGCTTTTGTTGCAGCTGGGACCCTGCATGCTTACTGATCCAAAGAGATGTCATTTACAAATATCCCACCCTGGCATGTTCCTTTATTTTCCCTTTTCTGAACTAACTCTTGTTTGACCTGACACTTAGTTGCATTGGCTGTTTTTCAGTGAACAGTGCTGGATTTCAGTCCAGCTTCTTGGTTTAACAGAAATACTAACAATTTATTTTTGGAAATTGGATCCTTTTAGTAACACTCTTTTCATCTGAGCAGGAAGCTAATTTAGGAGTAGTGATGGATATTCTACTAAAGGCAAGAAGTTGATGGAAAAGATTAGTATTTCTGTTATTTGAGTACTGTTTGTTACCTAGAGAGAAACAGCTCTTCTACAGCTTTTGGAAATGTGAAAAAGCTTGTGTTAATAACTGTAAGTATTTTCAACCAGTACTTTGTTTCAGAGTATTTTCTTTAAACTTTGTTCTCTGTCTTACATTGCCAGAGCTCATTTGGACTTCTTTGCTTGTTTTCAAGCCATAGCTAAATAGACCTTTTTTTTGGATGACAGGATTATTATAAATTATCCAGACCAGGCTCATCATTCCTGGACTAGTACAGCTAATTCTTTTTTACTACTTTTACCTGGGGACATGGAAAATCAGCAGTTTTGGAATGAGGTTAGTTTTACATGGTTTTTTGGGGTTTTTTTTAATTTGCTTCTATTTGCTACCATATTAAAAATGCCTTTCCAAAACATGGGAACAATATTTTGTAAAACAGTGGATGAGCAGGGACTCTGTGTTCCCAAATAGCACTGCTGCCCAGTGAGTGACTGGTTTCAGACATGAATACAGAGTGGCCTGGGCTCCTGGCACTGTCCCAGTCCCAATCCCTGCACTTCCTGCCCTTCTCTTGGCTTGGCCCTGGCTCTGGCACTCTGGGCTGACCCACCTCCTTTGGTAAACAGGGAGAAGACTGATCTAACAGCAGTAAAAAGTAAGTAGTTCCTGCTTGCTTGTTGAGGTACTTTGGCCTAGAGCTCAGTGAACACTGGAAAAGGAACTTAGAACCAGACAGAGACAGCAAATGTGAGATCACCTGCGCTTCATTCCCTTCCTTTTTAGTGCTTTTCGTGTCTGCTCGTATTTTAGATGATCTGCTAGAAACACAGCTGCCTCTGTAGCAGCCAGAAGCTCATCAGGAATTCAGCCTGCTTATTATTATAATGTGCTTTAGATCAAGAGTGAAGTAGAAGAGGTAAAGAGAAACGAGATACCTTTGCAAGGATTCAGCTTCTCTGCCTGGCAGAGTTGAAAATACTGCATTTGTGGAATTATTTAGGGGCTTTCCATTTCTTTAGTAATACTAGACAAAAATTATTGGAAAATATCTTCTAAAGTCACAGCTTTTTGGAATTCAGCCTGCTTATTATTATTATTATTATTATATCAGTGTGATTATCAAGGCAGGTACCTGAGGATCCTGGCCCACGTTATGTGCTTAGCAGCAGTGCTGCCCAGCTCTGATCTGTGCTGTGGTCCTCTGATGCTCAGCAGTGGGTGACACAAACAGGTTACAACATTCAGGACAGCCAGCCCTGAAGTTCTTCAGATATCATCCCTAAGCACCTTTAATGTCAGATTAAATATAAGGTTTGGGTTGCTTTTTTTACCTTAGTTACTTTTTGATTGATTTTGAATCTATTCAGTTAATATTTTCAGTGGTTTTTTTTTTTTTTCTTGAATTATAAGGCTTTTAAAAATTAGAATTAAAGTTTTGGTTTGTTTATGAAATAGATATTTTCATGTAATTGTAAGAGTTGGAGCTTTAAAAAAAGGATTAGCCATCTCAAGACTAGGTCAGGTGGCTTTACAAGCTAAATATTTGAGTACTGCTAAGGTGGCATGAATGCAGAATTTTCATACTTTCAAGTCCCTCATTTCTTACTATGGAATTAAAGTGTGGAGGTTAAATACAAGTATTTTTCTGTATTTAATAACAGTAATAATTACATTATTTGGGTTTTCATCAAGACCTATGGCTAGTATCCCAAAATACATAAATACAGAGTATATGTTTGAAATATCTGAGGGTATAATTTGTTTAAATATCAAGTGAAAGCCCTCTCCTGGTACTTGCTGGCACAGATGGTTTTTGAATACTGAGCTTCCAAAGGCAGCTTCAGGGCTAGTTCAGTGAATCACTGCTTATTGAAGACAGTCATTTTAGGGATAAGAAAAAGCCCTCTTCCTCACACAGCAGCAGAGCAGTCATCTTAAGAATATTCAGCAAACTACCCCAAACACCATCTTTCAAAATGTGCAGGACCATATGTTGGGCCAGTGCTCAAGGGAGATCTGATACTCTGGGTGTTTTCTCATCCACTATACTCCAGCCATTATATTAGTCAAGAAAGATAATGTTCTTGCAGACATGGAAAGTCCCAAACCTAACAGTTAAAACAGAGATGTTTTGTGTAGAGAAAAGCTAATTACTGAAGTGATTGCGAGGTGTATTTTGGGTACGAGGCACCACATTTTTTAATTAAATTAATCTTTCAGATGGTATAATTTGAGTATTTTAAAGCTGTTTTCATGTTTAGGTTTTGTACAAAACATGATTAAGATTCTGGTTTAAGACACTAAAATCTATGTTGTACCATAGTCAGACATAGAGAAGTTACTTAATATTACTGTCTGTTAGGTCTTTATACTTTATTAACTCCTGATTTCTAAGTGGAAATGTAAGGATGGATTCAGGATTTT